TATTAGTCACAAAATTAATCCCAACAAATAACAAGTGATTGGCTCGTTGATGTATTTCCCCTTGTCTTCCCCAACCTTTCTCTAACTAGTCAGAAAGGAAAGTTTTCATATTTTCTGAGAATCTCATTACTGCTCTCAAACTATGCTCTATATCTTAGTATAATTTTTAAAAATGAGTCAGCACAAGCATCTCAAAAAACTAGCATATGCTATGAAGCTATTTCTCTTCATAATAGAAAGGTGCAAACATTTTTTAAAAGGTTATTCAGGTGCCAAAGGTAACAGAAGAATATATGAAGAGTGTATGTTGTAGTAGGTTTTGCATGCTTCCAAAAGTAAGTAGAAAAAGAGAAATGTTCTTTATCAATCAACACAGGTATTCATCATCTCAGTGGTATCATACATGTGAAAATGGACATTGTTATTATGAATAAACCTAAAGAAGAAAACATCCTATATGTGACAAATTACAACTTCTCAACTTCTCGTTTCTTGAATATTGGCGCACCAGGGGAATGGGAAGTCAAGATACTCCAAGCATTAACTTCATTTGCAAATTGAATTGTACAAAACTGTGCACCATGCTAAGGCAATATGACTCTTAGTAACGTCATTTACTAAATGAAAAGTTAGAAGAGGTAAACTCCCCCTAAACTGCAAACACATCTGAATGTCGGCTCAATTAGGAGTCTATTTAGTCATTACACTTCTTAGAATAAGGCAAGTTAAAGGCAAGGAAAAGAACATTTGCTTTAATCATCAAAACAATCTATACATTTTCTCAAGGCTCCATTTAACTAATTTTCCAACGTTTTTGTTAAAAGTGACCAACCACTTAAAAGTTATCTGAGAGAGTCAGGGAAGAATTTTAAGGCTGAAGGTGATTCCTCCTGAGCTCTGCTAAATTTCTCCTTGTACTTAATTCTTTTCCATGACACTGTGTATGGCTTTTAGGCTAGTCCAGAAAGATGGCTATCATTCCTACTTCATATAATACATAGGATTCTTTCTCACATAAACCCAGGGCAACTCCTCTTTGAAGCACCGACACTCAAGGCTCTACATAACGTTTCAACTCTACCTTACTGCTGTACATTTTCCAAGTACCTGCGAGGAAACAAGAGAGCAGCACCTCCATTTTTCTGTTAATTGTGCTTTCGTTGCTCTTCCAAAACTCCTTGCAAGGCTGTTAAACCTTGAAGAGAGTTAGGGAAAGACACAAGAACATCTTGCCTTCCAGACTGGGTATTCAGGCTTCACTCAGTAAAGCTGTCATGGAGTAGCGCCACGGGTCACAGACAAACCACATGTCATCTGATGTTTGTCTTTGTAAGTTTAAAATAAAAATGTGACACTACAAGAAGGTTAACATGTGGACCTAATTTTGAAAATACAAACAGGAAGCACCCCCACCCCAATATTACCATTTAAAAAAAAAAGGAAACCGAACTTCAAAGATACCTTCCAAGGAAGTCATGGGTGTGACCCAAACTAACAAAAGTAATAAAACGTCATTTAAACTCTGAAACCATTCAAAGTGAGGGTCTCATTCAACCCACTAAAAATCTAACACGTGTAAATGACTCTTCTAAACAGTATGGATTTAGATGTGTAAAATCTTCTCCAAACTGGCACAGCTTTCCAGTAGCAGAGGATCATCATTAACAAAACATCCAATGTCAAGATTTTACTTCAGGCCGGACGCAGTAGCTCACGCCTGTAATCCTAACACTTTGGGAGGCCGAGGTGGGTGGATCACCTGAGGTCAGGAGTTTAAGATCAGCCTGGCCATTATGGTAAAACTCCATCTTTTTCTTTAAAAAAAAAAAAAAAAAAAAAAAAGATTTTACTTCAAATAAGGCCATTATAATTAAGAGAGAACACAATTTCTAAAAAATGTTTATCACTATGATGCTTACGACTTAAATTTAAGTACAAAAACTGGCTAACGGATGGAAACTAGATTATTAAATTTGACTTTCTTATTCCCAGAAGTAAGTATAAAACTGTCGTGTTTTCAACATTGCAGGGGGAAAAAAAATGATTATAGAAGAGTTCTATTCACGAAGCTCAGAATTAAAATTTTTTTTCCTTTAAATACCACACATTTGAAGAGCTAACTTTTAAGCATTATTTTTATTAAGTGCCACAGTTAAAGTATTTTGATACTTTATTGTAGCAAATAAATAAAAGGATATTATTCTGAAGAGTTCAGCAACCTGGAACTGCCAGATAGCTTTTTAAAAGAATAAGTTTCAAATTATCAGAAAAATCATAACTAGGGTTATTTTGCTTCCTTTTGTAGGAATAATGTGGTAATCTACACTTTTAATACAAAGGGAAAAAATGTGTCACAGATAGAATGTCCAGAAATCTGTAACTTTATGAGATACAGACATGTTTGTAGGGCAGGAAAATAGTTAGGCTTCCTTTGATTCCACCTGCAACCTGTATCTAATCTTGAGCATGTTTTTCACCTACTTAAAACATCTTTCTTTTTACAATAAGACTACCTGTGTCACCTACGTACATAACAACAAGCCAAATAAACCACAACAAATGGATTCATAATATATAAGCCTAACACAAACTACCGGTAATTGGAATATTAACAATACTATGATTTGAAAAAACTTGACCTAAGTATCAAAAGGTAATAAATGGCAACTTTAGGCTTGATGTGGCTTTTACATATGTAAATGACATAAAAACAATCAACTGAAAGGAAGAAAATGGAGATGAGATGAAAAGTCAGAGCAGGATAGGAAGTGTTGACCAAAATATTTATGTTGTAACACTCCAAACGATGATAGCACATTTTTCTCCTACTATCATACATATTATGAAGTACACACTTAAGAAACATATCTACCTTCAATTTCTTAACACAATCCATATTAATATCCTGTTGGCAAAAAATGTAAGTACTGAAAAGGTGAGAACTAATGAGAAGATGGGATAATTTATTTTGTTGGGTATACAGCAAAGATTTTGTGCAGAGTTTAGCTCCAAGTTGTGCAATAACCAAACTGCTGGTGATAGAAATCAACTTTTTCTTTTTTCTGATGGTTTGCTTTACCAAAAAAAAAAAAAAAAAATCTCTCCATTCCTTCCCTGTGTCTCAAGCTGGAGCTTAAAATTTCATCTTCCAGAGGCTACAGTAGAAAACAAGCCACCTACAGGATAATGCACTTACCTGACCCACGGTGTGGTGTTGTTTTAATTAAACCTAACAGATATCACAAATTGCCACATAGGAAGTTTTTCTTAAAATCAGCAGCCCCTTCTCTCCTTTAGCCCTGTCCATTCTAATAGCTGTGATCTTCCATGAGACAGAAACTGGTACCCAAATGAATAAACAAACAACTCGAAGCCTTAAAATAAAATCAATCAATAAGATTCTCCCCATTTGAAATGATCAGTACCAATCCAATATTTACAGTGTGACAAAATAAAATTTTAAAACATGAAAGGCACACTCAATAAAATGCATCCTCACCTAGGAACTGACAGGGAATTAATATAACGCAATATAATCTAAGCAAATGGACACTAACAATGTTGGGGAAAGAGGCAAAATTCTATGATCTTAATTGAATGATAACAAAATTATTTGAAATAATGTAGACCCAACAGCTGAAAGCTTATTATGACCCAGGCGGCTATCCGACAACTGCTCTGGAAACCTAAGCTACCAGCAGACCATAAACACCACTTGAAGACTGAAAAAAATGACATAAGCCTAAGTATGATATTGGGTGTCAGACTAGCCCTTTCAAAGGGCATTCCCTGAGGGCACTGCAGAGAAAATGCATGGAACTGCATCTAGACGGAGAACTATACACTGCTTGGTGCTTTGGGAAGAGCATGAATCGACTATTCAACAATCATGTCACCTGAGCAGGCCACTTACTCCACCTATCTGGGCCTCAGTTTCTTCATTTGTACAATAAAAGAATGTGGCATCATCGCTGGGTTCCTTTCCAGCTCTAACATTCTTTGACCCACTTTTGGCTCAATTATTTATGTGACAGAAGGTATGGTGGGATCACAGGGCCCAAGAAGAAAAGAACTGACCCTGGCTCTTTGGGAAACAGAGAACCCGTATCTCTTTTAGCCTTTAAAATTCTTGTGGTTTTCATTAATCCCGTCTTCCTAAAAGCTGGCACTTGTTTTTCTTCTTTGCCTTTTCCATCACTGCTGGCTACAAGTGTTTGCAAACGCCTCTTGCTCCACTCAAGTTCTTTCCTCTTTGATCACCCTGACCATCTTGCCAGATTCCTTTAGCCTCAGACCAGCTTTTGTGATACAACTCCCCTTCGACTCTCCGTATCTACCCCCGACACCAGGAGCACTTTTAACCCTTCACCCCTGGCTAGAAAGAAAAAGCACATTGCATCCCACCGCCACACGCACAAGCCCAAGCCTGGCGGGTCCTGATGTGGGATCCCGCCCCCCAGAGTCGTGTCAAAACGTTCGTATTTGTTGTCTTGACTCCTTATAAGGCCCTGTTTCTTGAAGCTTTGCTAATGCCCCCCACCGCATCAGGCACCCCCGCAGGTTCATCTCATCTCTGGGAGTTCGGGCACCTCTCTTGAAAAAAAGAAGTTAAAGAAGGAGACGGCTGGGGCTATTCGGAATTGCAACGTTAAGGTGTGAGGCGGCTGACAGCAGCCCCCTGAGCTGCTAGGGGTCGGCGCGGGGTCCTCACACACCCACTCGGGCACACAGCTTTGAAAGCGCACGCCCCCCGCCGCGCCGCGGCATCCGCACGCCCCCCTCGCGCGCCCCGCATCGCCCCCAGCCTCCTCCGCAGCCCGCCTGGACCCCCTCTCCCCGTGCGCGCCCCTCGCCCAGAGCGCAGCCACCGCGGCCCGGGAGAGATGGCGGCGGCGCGGCACTGCCGGGCGGCTGGGCGACTAGAGCGCGGGCCCCACCCGGGCTGGCTCCCCGGCCTGGCTCCCTCGACCCCGGGCCCAGGGCTCGCCCGCAGCTCCTACCTCGCTCGGCCCCTCGGGCGTCCGCGGCTGCTCCGGCCCCGCTGTCTGGCTCGCCAGCCCGCCCGCCCGCTCGCTCGCTCCCTCCCTCCCTCGGCCGGGCAGCCGCAAGGAGTCGCCTGCGCTGTCCCCGCCCGGGGTGACGGCGCCGGCCGCGGACTCTCCTCCCGCCGGGGCCCGCGGGGGCGCGCGCGCCGCTCGCATGCGGAGGCCCGGAGACGCGCGCCGCCGGCAGCCCCGCGCGCGCTCCGCTTCCTGGTTCCGCCCCGCGCGCGCTCGCCAGCCCTGGGCCCCTAGCGCCCGCTCCGCGGCCGTCCGGCGGGCACCCGACCTCCCACGGCGCACCCGGGGTGGCGGCGCGCTCGGCGGGGCCAGGGCCGGCGCCGGCACCACGCGCACCCCCTTTCTGCGGAGGTGGGGGTGTCTTCCCCGCTCCGCGCTCCAGCGGGCCCAGCGCCACAAGCACATGCTGCTTTGTTTGGGTTGGGTCGACCACCACTAGCAGGGCAAGGGCGCACTGTCGTGGTCGTGTTGATTGGCCCCCTCTGCGGCCCGCCCGCCTCCCTCCCTGGGAGCCCAGGCCTGTGTTCCGGGTCCTCTCTCTCCCAGGCCCAGGTCAGAAGTCCACAGCGGTCCCGATCAATAATTATCCTGGGTTTGCCCCAGGAGGGCGTCTCAGCCAGGGCTTCCCCCGCCTGCATGGGCACCGCAGGAGTTCACATTCGCCCAGGCCGAATGCACCTGTCCGCTGTTTCAGGGTGAACCTACGGGGGACGGGGTGCCTGGGGCCAGTTCCCTTCCTGGGGAAATCTGGCAGGCTCCCACTAGTCAGAGCTGCGGGAGGGACCGCTCTCTTCAGAGAAGAAAGAAGAAGCAGGGTCACCTCTAGTATCCAAGGGAAGGGGGTCTCCCAGATCCTTTCCACGTACTGGGGAGGGGGTTGCAGTGTGTGGGAAGCCAGCCTGAGTCACCCACTCTCCTCCCTCTGCTACGTCTCTCTCCCGGAGCTGTCCAGCGGTTTCCCTGGCAACCCTCCAAGGGTTAGCACTAAAGCAAGACATAGGAAAGCTCCAGAAGCCCAGCTGCAGGGGGCAAAAGAGAGAGAGGGGGACCCCTCCCGGCCCCACTCAAACACACACAGCTGCCCTGTGTGTATGCAAAACGTTCATGTCCAGAGATGGCCCAGAGCAGCACGTTCTCCCATCATCCTCCCTGGGTAGCTCTTTCTAGCCGCCTTCTCTTCACCACTAGAATGACACCAACCACAAAAGTCTCCAGCTGGTAAAAAAGCTTTTCTCCCTTACCCGGGCCACTGCTCCAGTCCCACACTCTGGGCCAACACCTGGCACAGTGCTTTGCACAGAGTAGGTTCAGGGAGCTTGGAGGCCAGAGCAGGAAGCAGGAAGCAGGATGGATGCACCAACCAACCCTGAGCTCTCTGGCAACCTCCCTGACAGTCAACTGCCCATGATGTTTTGACACTCAGGCGCTCCATGTTCTCCATGTTTCTCTTCCTTTTTTTTTCTTTTTCTTTTTTAAGACGGAGTCTCTATTGATTGCCCAGCCTGGAGCTCGATGGCGTGATCTCAGCTCACTGCAACCTCCACCTCCTGGGTTCAAGTGATTCTTCTGCCTCAGCCTCCTGAGTAGCTGGGATTACAGGTGCGAGCCACCACATCTGGCTACTTTTTGTATATTTTTAGTAGAGATGGGGTTTCACCATGTTGGCCAGGATGGTCTGGAACTCCTGACCTCGTGATCCACCCACCTCAGCCTCCCAAACTGCTGGGATTACAGGCATGAGCCACTGCGCCTGGCCCATGTTTCTCTTTCTTATCAGCTTTCATCCCTGCACACATGCCGTTCCCTCTTTCTGGAAGGTCCTTCTGCCTTCTTGATGCCTGCCCTTCCATGACACTTGCTCCAGGCAGCATGACCTCCCTCCTTGTTTCCCACCACGTTGTTCATGCCTCTATTACAGCACTTCTTGTGTTGAGGGACAATTTCATGCTTGCATGTGTCTCTATCCCCAATGGCAGACATAATATCCCATTCACTTTAAATCCCGCCACTTGTGCCCAAGCCCAAACAGACACTCAATAAATATTTTTGGAACAACTCCTGTGCTTTAGGAATGGACATGGAGGCTACAAGGTCTATGCAGTCATTAAGAGTACAAGGTCCACCCCAGTGTGGTGACGCACATCTGCAGTCCCAGCTACTGAGGAGGCTAAGGTGGAAGGATCACTTGCGCCTGGGAGGTCAAGGGTGTGATGATTTTTTTTTTTTTCTTTTTTTGAGACAGACTCTCACACAAAAATGTATGGTCTCACAAAAAAAAAGTCTCATGGTGCGGTGGCACAATCACAGCTCAAGGCAACCTCCTGGGCTCAAGCAATCCTCCTGCCTTAGCATCCTGAGTACCTGGGACCACAGATGTGCACCACCACTCCCTGATAATTTTTAAAAATAATTTGTAGGCTGGATGCGATGGCTCATACCTGTAATCCCAGCACTTCGGGAGGCTGAGGTGGGCAGATCATGAGGTCAAGAGATCGAGACCATCCTGGCCAACATGGTGAAACCCCATCTCTACTAAAATTACAAAAATCAGCTGGGTGTGATGGCATGCAACTGCAGTCCCAGCTTCTGGGGAGGCTGAGGCTGGATAATTGCTTGAACCTGGGAGGTGGAGGTTGCAGTGAGCTGAGATCTTGCCACTGTACTCCAGCCTGGTGACAGAGCAAGACTCTGTCTCAAAATAAATAATAATTTGTAAAGACAGGGTCTCACTATATTGCCTGGGCTGTCCTAGAACTCATGGCTCAAGCAATCCTCCCCACTCAGCCTCCCAAAGTGCTGGAATTACAGTTGTGAGCCGCTGTACCCAGCCTGAGGCTGCAGTGAGCTGTCATTGTGCCACTGGTCTCCAGCCTGGGTGACAGAGTGAGGCCCTCTCTCTCCAAAAAAAAAGTACAGGTTCTCAAACAAGACTCTCAATTCCTTGAGCCAGGTAACCTTCATGCCTGTTTTCCTCTTCTCTCCTCATTTGTAATGTGGTGATAGAGATACTACCTACCTCAGATGGCTGTGAGAAGTAAATGTTTACTGCATGTAAAGTGCTTTACAGTAAAGCACTACATAGCAGCTAGCTATTATTGTGGTATTTAGTAGCAGCTAAGATGAATACCCCTCTTCCCAAGACCGGCCAAGGTCCGGGGCTCAAGCCAGTTGGTGTGTGGCAGCTGTAGGGTGCTAGTTTAAATGTTCTGAAAGGTCGATTCTTGCATCTCTAGACTCATCTCTAACTGATGGTCATCAGGCACCAAGCTAGGCCTGGCTCGGTGTGTACACAGACGCCAAGGACAGAATGTTCTGGGTGACTTCTGCAGCATAACAGATGTTGTCATCCTGAAAGAAGGTCTGACACCTGCTTCTCTGCTTGACAGTTCTGATGGGGTGAGATCCTCTTCTTCTAGGCCTTAGGGACATATTCCCCTAAATTGAGGGGACACCAGATTAAGCCATGACAGAAAGAAAGAAACTGAAAAGGAAGCTAGGATTCTGAAAGACCCCACAGTCCAACCCGGAGAGAATGACCCAAGGAGGTACTTAGAGATACAGCGATGTCCACCGGAGGGTCTCATCCCTTTGAGCACTGGCCTGACCCGGGAGAGACGCTTTGGGGGAAGAGCCTGGAAGTCTGGTCCACAACCTTTGTCCACATGTGCCCCTGCTCCCAGCCACCCTGCCTGCAGCCTCCTCCCCTCTCTCATGGGTGAACACATGGCTCTCAGTGGGGCAGCTCCCCTACTTCACATCCTCCCTCACTCCTGCCCCGGAGATCATGAGGCCATTTTCTGCGAACATCATTGAAGCCACAACCACGATCCCCTCTGGCCAGAAACCAGAGACCTGTTATTGTGACTTCCCTACTATATCCCAGGAGTCAGGCTGACACATATTTGCTCAGAAAGGGCACTTCTGGGGACATCCTTTTTTCCATATGGGGATGAGTCTTCCCATAGGTGGATAGGTCAGTACAGGAGCCTGGAGCCACGGGGAGAAGGTACGGGCCACTCAACAGATAGGAAGGTGGAACCCCAGTTCTCCAGGGCCTCAAAACGGAGTGCCCACGGTTTAGAACGGGCTCTGCGGTTTGGGAGGGGCTCTGTCAGTGCCCCAGCTTACTTCTGTCAGAGCATTGGTGGCGAAAAGTTAGATCTGGTTCTAAATCCCAGCTCTGCTAACACAGCTGTGTGGCTTTGGTCTAGGTACTTAACGTCTCTGAGGACCTCAGTTTCCCCTTACATAGTATAGTAAGGGGAAGTCATAGTATGGAGGTAAAGTGTTTTAAATGCACAGAATCATTCTAAATCCATTTAAATGCACAGAAGCCCCTAGCAACTGTTGTTGCCCCTCCAGAAGGGCCCTGGGGACAGGAAAGGGCAGTGACTAACTTCGCCACATACCCTTTTAAAAATCTCTTGTGGCGACCGGGCACGGTGGCTCAAGCCTGTAATCCCAGCACTTTGGGAGGCCGAGGCGGGTGGATCACGAGGTCAAGAGATCGAGACCATCCTGGTCAGTATGGTGAAACCCCGTCTCTACTAAAAATACAAAAAATCAGCTGGGCATGGTGGCGTGTGCCTGTAATCCCAGCTACTCAGGAGGCTGAGGCAGGAGAATTGCCTGAACCCAGGAGGCGGACGTTGCAGTGATCCGAGATCGCGCCATTGCACTCCAGCCTGGGTAATGAGCGAAACTCCGTCTCAAAAAAAAAAAAAAAAAAAAAAAAAAAATCTCTTGTGGCCCAGGGCAGTGGCTCATGCCTGTAATCCCAGCACTTCGGGAGGCCGAGGTGTGCAGATCACGAGGTCAAGAGATTGAGACCATTCTGACCAACATGGTGAAACCCCATCTCTACTAAAAATATAAAAATTAGCTGGGCATGGTAGTGCACACCTGTAGACCCAGCTACTCGGGAGGCCGAGGCAGGTGAATTGCTTGAACCCAGGAGGCAGAAGTTGCAGTGAGCCAAGATCACACCACTGCACTCCAGCCTGGTGACAGAGTGAGACTCCTTAAAAAAAAGAAAAGAAGCCGGGCACGGTGGCTCATGCCTGTAATCCCAGCAATTTGGGAGGCTGAGGCAGGCAGATCATGAGGTCAAGAGATCGAGACCATCCTGT